ATGTCTAAACTAATTTTGAAACTAAAATTGACTAAGAGTTGATACAGTTGTAGGCTTGTAGTTGAATTCCATTAAAAGAAATGAAACTTTGATTAAGAAAAACTTTTTGGACATGATTTGTAAGACCTTTGAGTATAATTTTTGAATCCATTTAGATAAGATTTTTAAAGTTGACAAGCCTCTAATGACAGGAGCATTTCAATTTGATTTTAAAGTCTTCTAGGTAAGATTTATAAGTCTTCTAGGCAAAATGTTTTAAATTTTTAAAGTTATCAAACCCCTAATGAGATGAGCCATTCATTTTGATTTTTAAAGTGGTTGAGCTTCTAATGAGAGGAGCCTTTCAGTTTGATTTTTAAAGTTATCAAACCTCTAATAAGATGAGCTTTTAGATTTCTTTAAAAAAAAAATTGTGTGGGTCAATGGACCGGACAAAATTGTTATCTATATTTTTGCTCTATTTTTAATTTCTAGTAATGTGTAAAGAGGAGCAACTGTAGATACTTAACATTGTCTAGATTATCTGAAACTGGCCTTAATTTCAATTGGGTGGATATTACATGTATTGCGCTTTGCTGGGTTTGATGTCAATTGGACTTAGAAAGCTTAAATTCTATTTCAGTTAGGCTTAAAGGCCCAAATTTTATCGCTTTGGCCTAAATTCAATTTTTTTTGGGTCGGGCCCTAAAGTTTTGGCCCATAATCAATAAAAAAACCCAATTAGTTCCTTTTGTTTTTATTTAACTTTATTTTTATCTTTATTTTCATTTTAATTTATTTTATTATATTCTATTTATTTATTTATTTCTCTTTTTGTTTTTTTGTTTATCTTCTTGGTTTGGACAAAAGCTTTCGATGCATTAATGCACCATTTGACAGCAACAATCCAAGTTTAAGATTTCGACAGGTCATCGCTAGTCACACCATTGCATTAACAACCAACTATCACCTTGACACACCACATAATTTTGAGCTTGAAATTTTCACCAAAATCTTAGAAAATTTGAGATATGGATCTTTTAAGGCTTTATAAATAGAGCCTTCAAGAACACAAAAAATGGACAAAAAAGAAAGGGAGAAAACTTTACCAAAAAAGGAACAGAAAAAAAGAGCCTTTGTTGAAACCCAAAAAAAAACCTAAAAAAAAAATGTTTCTAGTTTACTAGAAACATCAAATCACACACAACAAAAAAAACCCATCCCCTGGAATAAGGAACACAACGTTGAAACAACATTAAAAAAAAACTACAACAACAAAAAAAGAGGGTTTGGCCAAATCTTTAAACGTAGATCTAGGCTTTTAGAGGTTATTTTTTTTTTAGAAAAGGACATTGGGAGAAAGAAGAAATGGTTGAAAGTAATTTTTTTAGTGATTTTTGGAGTTTTCTAATCATCGACAATGATGGCAACGACACGATGATAGGATGATGGAGGTCGATCATTTTTTGGGCAGGGGGCTTGGAAGGTTATTTTTGGTGTTGAATTTTTTTTTATGATAAAGAAGTGCAAATGAATTAAAAAAAAGCTTTATAGAAAAAAAAACATAAAAACGATATCGTTTTGAAGCCCTAAGATCACGTACCGACCCAACCCAACGACCTATACACCCGACTTGACAACCTACGTCTTTTTTTGCCCCTCAGATCATTTAATCAAACCAACGCCAAACTAATCGAACCTCATCGAACCATTAAAAAAAATCGTTTGAACTATAGAAAACAATCCTTAATTTGCTGAATCGCATGTGAATCAACCAAATTGTTGGCCAATACATTGATCGACCCGATTTAGGTATTATTTTCATTTTTTAATTTTTATTATCATTCTATTTTTTTAGTTTATTTTTTTTATTTATGCTTATTTAAAATTCAACATTTCCAAAATAAATATTTATTTTCTTTTTTAAATGAAAATAAAATTTAAATTTTTGGTAATTTTAAATTCCACCATTTCTTTGAAAAAAGTAAGTAAAATAAAATAATAAAAATGAAGGAAAGAAAATTTTTATTCGGTTATAAGAGTATAAGATAATCCGAGCAGTGATACTTAAAAAATCTCTAAATAAGAATTTTTTTTTAATATTTTCAGCGTATCAAAGTATTTATAGAAAATTTTTAATACACTAAAAATTTCTCTTTTCTCCTAGAAAATAATAAAAATAATTAAAAAATGGTAAATAAAATCTGTGTACCAATATTTCGTTATTTGCATTGTATACATGTCATTTAATTTTTGAAAAATAAATACTAGTCTTCGAATATAGAAGTTTAAAATATTCTAAGTAGCAATACCTAATAAATCTTTAGGTGATAATTTTTTTTTCAATGTTACCAATGTACTAGAATATTTTAAAAGTTCTTTTAATAATACGGTTCTAATTTCTTTTTCTCCAATAGAATAATAAATAAAAACAAAAAAAAGTAAATAATAAATAAGGGAAATCAAGGAAATTATTTTTAAACATCAAAATTAAGATTATTTTTGTCTAGATTAATGGATAACATATAATTAATTAATACAGTTTTTAACGAGAACTATGGGATGTTAATCCTTCCTCATATATAACCGACTCTCAAACCCAAATTATTTTACAGACTTTAAAATTATTTTTTTAATTAATTTTAAGATTTTATTAAAAAGATAAGTTTTAATAGGTGACTAATCACATCTAATCAAAAAAATTGGTGACGACTACCCTTATTTTTTTAAATTCATCTAACGACCTCAAAATTATTACGACAAGGATAATTACTTTAAAAATTATAATGATTTATCTATGATGATTAGATCATTATGTTTAGTAAGTATTTAGTAATCTTATGTGACAGTTATATCGGATCTCTTAGAGTGATCAAATTATTATCCTAGAGGACAATGTAATTCCCATTCAAAATAATGAGAAATTTTTATTATCGAAGTGAAGTGATCTATAATAATAATAATAATAATAATAATAATAATCAATATTACTCATTTAATATGTGAATTAAATACTTTCTCTTAAAATTGTAATTATTTTATATTATAAATTTTTATATTTTCAAACTAATATTCATTTTAATATGTTTAAAATAATTTGTGTGCTTTCTTTTAACTTTTTTAATGTTATATATAATATAATTTTTTATTTTTATATGATTTTAATAGATTAATTTATTTTTAATTTTTTTACATAATTTATATTATAAAAATTAGTTGGCCTATTAATAAATATATTTGTTCATTTAATAGTTTAATTATATTTTATTATGAAGTAAATAAAATATTACTAATAAATAATATTAAAATCATTAACTTGCATAATTATTACAATATATATGATTATTTTGATACCTTCAAAAAATAATATTTAATTTTTGATAATAACAAATATAATAATTTTTAATTTCTAAAAATTAATAATTATTAATCAAATAAAATAATTTTAAATTACTAATAATAAAATCACATTAATTATAAATTCATGTCCAAGGTTAAATTCAATTTATACTCTTATTAAATGACAGTTTTTTAATGGAGATGTGGACCAATAATATTTATGGAGCACAAAGGGGTCGAATAGGGGCCAAGGATTCATCTGTGATGATATTCTTTCATAGATTTGGCAATTCATGTCATTGTATCGTGTAAAATATTATATTTATGTTGTATTTTATGTAAAAATTATATTATAATTTGTATCAACACAAAATATATAATATAATTTTTTAGTTTTATTAAATTAATTTATGATTTTTTTAAAATTTTAAATTATATTATTTTCATGTTTTTTATTCGTATCATTTTCGTATCATATTATCAATCGTATTTTATATTGTTAGATTTATTTTACGAAATTTGTATAATTAGCTAGAATTAGTAAACCAAATGGGATTTGAAAAACCGGATAATGAATCCAACTCAACAATCAATCAAAGATCACAACAACCCATCCCACGTGCAACTAACTAACAAAATTTGGATAAGAAATCAAATTGAAGACTCATACTTCCTTACGGAAGAAGAATTAGGTGGCTAACTCTGTCGTCAAAATTAGATTCAATGTTTCAGCGACTGTAATTTTTCTTTTATTTTCAGATTATGATTTTTTTATATACTCCATCTTTGTTTTCCTCCAAAAGAAATGAAAAATATTTTCATGGCTGACTTAACGGGTTGCATTTCCCTAATCTTTTTTTAAATTTTTTGTTTGAAAAAATTTAGAGATAAATAAATTGTTCAGTTCCTTAAGTCAGAATAAAATATGTCATATCTAATAATTTAATATAAGTGACTGCAGGTAAGTAACCACAGAAAAATCGAATCCAATATCTCCTCATCGAAGAGAACAAACTTTAAATTGTTAGTTTTCAAATTTATTTAGTAATTTATTTTTGGGCTATCCTCCTATGCAAAAAAAAAAAAAAAATAGACATAAATTTTGCATATCCTAAACAAGGTTGAATTAAATAACACTTATACATTCTATTCATGTTACAAGAGACAAAGTAACAATGCAAAGGCAAATAATTAAAACCAACTGTTTGTATGCATTTGATTTTATGACTCTATAATGAATTTATGCTTTTTTTTAGAAGAGTTCGGTTTAAATTTTCTTATATTAAAATATAAAAAAAAATTAACAACAAAGAAATCATTTTTTGACATTGAAAGTGTTCATGGATGGAACCAAATTAGATGGAAACTTCTAAAACTTGTTCAAAGCTTGTGCTGCTCATGAAAGGCTATTTAGACTTATTTAATTTAAATTGAATATGAAAATATATGCTATACTAATTTTTTCATGTTTTAAAATTAAAATCAAATAAAAATAATAATTTAGTATTAAAATTTTCCCTTCTTAATATTCATATTCATTTGATCATGTCGTTAGTCCATTGTTTTATTTTGCAGCACCATATATTAATTGGCATATGGCAATTGGCAAAGCAATTAAAAGTGTCGAATCATGAGGTACACCTCACATGTGATGAGTGATGAGCACTTGAGCAATACTTTGAAATTACAGTTCAGTAGAGCTATTATGCCTATGACTTTACAACACTGCAACTAATGAAATCCCTATATAAAATCCTCACCAATCATCACCAAATTGGACAATACTTTTTAACTCTTTTCTGTTCTTATCCCTGCATCATTTTCAGTGACTGAAAGCTTCATTTTTCAATGATGCAAACTAAAACGCAAGTGATTAAACTTCTGCAAATGCAAATGAAGAGAAAAATATGGAAAGTATATATGTAAAACTTCAGTCTGAAAGCAAGCAAACAGTAAAAGCAACTCCCTAAAAGTCCTAAGATATGATCTGTTTTGATATTTACAATTGGAGAGGCAGAAGTAGAAGGAAAAGAAAGCTTAAAATTAGCTGCAAAAATGCTTCACACAGGCAAAGGTGGATGAATCCTTCATTTCAGTTCCAAGTTTGCAGCAAATACTCATTAATTTGTGCTGAAAATGAGTATCTTATTCATGCCAGCAAAGGAGCATAACCACACATCTTCTAATAATGTATAGCCTTCCCTTTTGTTCCCTGAGATACCCTCCAAGCTTTCTGCATGAAATCTTCTTCTTGGACTCTCCCATGGCTGCTGCACTACTACTGCTTATCTTCATGTTCTAATTTCTTCTTTGTTTAATCTCTCTTTGCTTTTTCGGAGTGGCAGAAATAGAAAAAGAAAAAGAAAGCAAAAGGCTGAGACTGTTGTAGTAAAATGGTTTGAAATGAGAGGAAATGGTAGGCTTCTTATAGAGAGAGGGGTGTGGTTCAGATTCCTGCACCTCAGCTTCCCAAAAAGAAATTTTCCAATTTCTTCGTCTATCTATGAAAGTGCCACCTGCCACGTCATCATATGTAGAAAAATATTTAATGTGAGAATTACTAAGACAAGATAATAGGCCGGCTATTGATGAAAATTTTGAAGGAAAAGGTTAAAAGATGAAGGGTAGGAGCAATTTTATCTAAGATATATATTTCGGTCGTACATGATAAGAAATTTGATTTTTTTAAGTAAAATTTTAATTTTGAATCTTATAAATAAAAAATTAAATATTAAAAAAATTTATGTTTTTATTAAAATAATTAAAATTTAAAATAATTATCGAACATTAAAAAATAAAAAAATATATATTTTGGGGGTGTGAGAGGGGAGGCATGCAGCTGACAGTCCTCCCACGATTTTTATTTTAATTCATGAAAAGAGGTGTGATGTTTCATTGTCATGTCGTATGATGTGTTTGCTCTTGTTCACTGTGAAAAATATCAAAATTCTTTAATTCGCTCGGTTCCTGCAAAAGGGGATTTATGGGCTGAATTTGGTTTAGGTAGGCATTATATTTAATATTAATAATTTATATATTTATTTAGATTTAATTTAATTTAAAATTTTTTAAATTTGATTTAAATTAAAAAATAAATTTTAAATTTATTTGTTAAATTTAATTTATATAATAAAAAAATTTAAAATATATGATTAAATTTAATTTAATTGAATTATATTTAAACATTACCCTTCAAGTTTTAAAGGAAAAATAATAAATATTGGTTTACTTCAAATTTCAATAAACTTTCTCTCAATTATTACAGATAATTTCATCAACCAGGGTAAATTATTTGAGAGATTTGAATGAAATTATATATATATTATTTTACAAAAATAATCGCAACTTATGAATAAATTAAAAAAAAGTATAAATACTAAAATTTGAATTTAAATATTTTAAATTATATCTCTCAAAAATAATTATATTAACCAAATGGATTAAATTTGAATTCTCTAATTATATAAACCAATATTATTAAAAGAACTCTTGAAGTTAACTTTTATGGCAGCCTTGGAGAAGAAGGTTTACTCCATTGTGGGTTGAGAGTACTTAAAAATTTGAAACAATCTAGGCAGAAATTTCTATATTATATATGAAACTAAAGCTCAAAACTCAAAGCATTGCAATGGAATCTGAGCGTCAACTTCAAGCCCAACCACGATAGAATTGATTATAAATCTAAATCAACTAAAAACACAGCAGAATCTCACATGTTTTATCTCGTGCTTCACCCACATCTATCACAAGAGGGCTGGTACCACGGTCTCGCTCTCATTCCACACACTTAAGGGGATTAATCTATAATCCTTCAATGCTTCAGCTTCCATCAGTTCTGAACATGCCCAGAATTGACAAAACATCTACATAAATTCCTGGAACTTTTGCTCCCTTGAGATAAAATTGTTGCTTACAGCTAGCTCCCTATTCCTTATCTTTCAATTTTACACTCAGCTGGCATATATAAAGCTTTGAATTTTTAGGTAATTAAGTGTGCATTTGTTTTACGAAAGCAAAACCGTTTTTCCTTTTTATTTTAAAAAAAATGGAAAATATGTGAAAAACTTGTTCTGTTGAAAAAACGAAAAATGTTTAGTAGAAAATAAAAATGAAAATAAGTCAAAATAAAAAAAAAATGTCTTCATTGTTTTTAATGAAAACACTTTGGAAAGCCGGAGAAAGTGAAAATAAGAGAGTTTTAAATTTTTTTTACTATTCATTACAAATCACCTAAAGATACACAATCACTAGAGATGCAAAAATGCTTCTTTTTTTTTTTTGTATTTTTTATATTGCTTTTATAATGTATGAGCAATGAGCTTTGATCATCCATTTTTTATTAGGTCATTTTAGAACATCAAATAAGAATTAACCCTCCTTAAAATGTCATAAATACTAAAATAATATTACTTTTGAAATATTATATGGCATATATAGAAACTGTTTAATTTAATTATTTAACCATAATATAAATACACATTTGAAATTCATATTAATTTAAAAGTGGCATCCACAAGTTTTTTTTTATTTATATATAAAATTACATTTACAAGTAATAATATCACATAAACAAATATCAATTGATTTTGTAAAAAATATCACGTGAATTTTTTATTATATATCACATATAATAAACAAATAAAGAAAATCAACATATAAAATTGAACGAAAAAAGCTTGAAATTTAAAGAATATTAGTTTTTTTTTGGTTAAATTCATATATATATGTTTTTAATTTTTTTTAATTATTGATAATGGTGTTATTTTTATACCTAAAATTCATTAAATAATTCAAAACTTTTTCTTTGAATGTGTCAAAATAATCAAATCTTTACTACTTCAATTACTTTCACAAACTCTGATAATTTAAAATATAAAAAAATCGTTATCTAGAAAATTTGAAAACATGAAACATTTTTTTTTAATGGGAAACATAAAAAAAATATTTATCAATTGAGTTATAGAGAAATTCGATTTCAACATAATTACTTAACCCTTTAAAAATAAGATACTTACTATCAAACCATACCTAAGTTGTCGGGCCTCGTTTAGGAATTAGGATTGAGGCAAGATCGTGCTTTTGTTCTAAAAAAGTTGCATTCCGCCACAACCTCAGTCCCTAAACAAGAAAAAATGTTGATAACAAGTTTTTTCTAAATTTTTTTTTCTTTTACACGTACTTTTTTAAACGTTTCAATTCACTATAACACTTTTTTTTCTCAATAATAGTACAGTTAAAATTCTCAAATAACAATTTTCTTATCATAGGTTCTATTAATTTAGTAATAACATCAATTTCTCAGTTGACTTTTAAATTAATTAACTTGTTATTAGAATTTACATTTAAAAATTAATGAATTCGAAAAAATTTATATCCGTAATATTTTTTTAAACAAATAAATATAACAATAAAAATTTAAAAATAAATTATATTTTTTTAAAAATAATAATAATATTAATATTCTCGAATATATATTTTTAATTTTAGTAACGCGATACTACGAAGTATTCGAAATGCTAAAAACAATTCAAGTGGACAGGGAAACTTCAGATGGCTGTACATGATAGTTAAATCCTGTCTATCATATCTGATCCCATGACCCATGAAAAATACAGTTAAAATTAAATAATTAATAAACAAATAATTGATATGAACCAGGCTGTTAACCTAGGAGAAAAATCTTAGCCTTATCTGAATGTGGGCCAGACACCATCTTTGATTATGATGTTTTTAAATCAGGGTTTGGTAGGGTCAATTTGAACCCAATTATCCACCATGCGCACCATGCTGAAAGAGAAGTTATACACTAAAAGGAGACAATGCAAAATTAAATTATCTCAAATGACTCCATTACCAAACAATGGCACCTTGTTTTTGTCTCAAGTTGTTGCTTGCTGGTTTTATTCTATGTAATTTTTTGCACTAGAAAATTACAAACATGTACTGTACAAAGAGGACCGGTCGGCACGTGATAATATGGTGAGAGACATGGTCATTGCCTTATTTATAGTAGACAACCAAGATTTTTGTTAGGTCATTGTTCTTGTTCAATAGGGGAGGTTTCTTGGTTGACTTCATGTTTTACAATATTTGATAAGTCTGGTTTAATCGATGTTTTTGAAACTTAAGATTGGATTATCATATCTTTGTCTCGATTTCTTCAAAAATGTCGTATGCCACAAACGTTCTTATAATGTACGGTTCAATGTACTAAATTAAAAACTTTCGGGTTACGAGATTATTTTTAAAAAAAAGCCAACTTTAATTATTTAAAATCTCTTAATCTACTAAAAAATTAAAAAAAAAATCCAAAAAATTATTGTCTAACTCACAATTTGATAAAGTAAAATTATTCAAATCTGTAATGTTCATAGATTAGGTCGAACCCAATAGACAACTCGATTATAAATATTTAAGTTTTTTTTTTTTTTTTTTATACCAACGGTGCATATCTATGTTTAACCACTCATAAAATAAGATCTCTGATGTTTAAATTAATATTTTGTGTAGTTTATTATATGTGGTTGGTTTCGAACTATGAGACTCGGAATATGCATATAAATTGTAACGTAATCTCTCACAACCGGCGGATCATAAGAGGAGCATATTACAATTATTTCATGTATATTTAAGTTAAATTGGTTTTTATACTAAAATTTCTATTTGTTGATTTTATGAATTGTAATTTAAAAGGAATTAAAATCTTATTATAATTTGTTTATTAATTATATCCATAATTATCATTTACAAATCCTTGAAAATAATAGATTATCACAAATATTAAGTCATACTTATATATACTAAACAATCAAATTAACTTTCTGATTTTTCAACAAAGTTTCAAGTTTTCAATCAAGTATAAATTTAGCTGAACACTTATTTTTTTCATATCTTTTCAATTTTTTTATTTGATAAAACCTTAAATTAATGGATTATGTTAAATGTTCGAATTCTTTATTTTCCTTAAAATATTTGTGCTCTATACATATACGATAAACGTGAATATAAAGATCAGACAATCCAAATATATACGAAAAAAATCTTTAAAAAAATGAACATATCTATTTTTTACCTATACTTATATCAAATATTCACTTCGTAATCTACAAAATATTAAAAATGTAAAAAAAAAAAAAATTTAGTTAACCCCTCAATGCAAAACTTAATATTAAGATTCACCACCATCTCTCGCCCAGAAATTGATGGAAGAAATTGTCAAGAAAAGCATGCCAACATGAGTGAAGAGGCCAATTTCTTTGATGGTTTTGTAGGCCGATTACAACATGGAAGATATGTTACAAATTTGTGTGGCTTGGAGTAAAGTCTAAAAGCTTGGGATGGCCCCATTTAGTTTTGACTTATTGAGATTTTTAGTAGCTGCCATTATCCAAATTAATTTTCAGGTAGTCCAAAAGAAAAGGTTAATAAT